GCATCATCCGTGTATGTACCGCTTGCCAGGTGCAGGTATTGGTAGTTGAAAAGAAGCTGTCGACTGCTCTGCTGAAATATTTCCGCTGCATATTTTTCCTTGTGTTGGTCAATTCGGGATGGTCTGTATTAGCAGTCATAGCTCTTCAACAAAGTGATGTGAGTCAACTGTGAAATTAACTATTTCATACCATGCGGACGAGAGTGGAATGGGCCAGGACTCTGACAAAATTGATGGAGCCTCCGTAGGGGCTGGTCACGAGAACGTAGTGATTCAGGGTGATTGGGAAATAGTCGTATCAGCTCCGTCGTTCGGAGCGACAATTGGGATCAATAGTATCCTGGAGGTATCTGTGATGGTAAATAATCATCGTGGTTGGCTTTGATGTCGCCAGATACTGATGATAGGATGGGTAGGGATGCGCGGCTCCTGTGAATAAGGATGCCGGTACGCCGCTGTGGTGTATACCACTACAACTATAGTTTAAGAATTCCCATGAGGAAGTTGAAAGTGGCCACCTCGTTGGCTGTTGTATTCCTCTCGAACTGGAGCTCTCTGCTCGCCAGTAAAGATACTATTAGATTAAAAGGAACCGGGATGTAGTCTACTCGTTGAGGGAATATGATATTATCGACACCAACGGCAGAGTACTTACGGAATGCTATCAAAGTAGCCGTTACTTCAAATGAGGCTCACGCCCTGGCTCGTGTCCTCCTGAGGTCCCCTCAGGCCATTCTGCCTTGTCGCATCCATTATGTAACGTCAGCTGTACTCCTGTAGTAGAAGATTATTATTACTTCGAATATACATGCTTCCCCACACGAGTCCAATACTGCCCATTACGACTCCCCAGAACTGCCTGCCTCCATCACAACCACGGGGCTCAGTGGCTAGCTTTGCTGGGCCTATGTCGGCTAGACAGGAACCTAGAACGGTAAGTACGTCTGGGCATTTTCTCATAGTATAAGTCGCCAGCGTTGCAATATATATATGTTCGCCCTCCTCAGCTGAGCTCATTAATCATAGGAGTTTGTGGACGAATTGAGTCGAAAGCTCATAGAAAGCAGCAAAAGTTCGCCGAAATTTCCTCGGAATTTTCATATTGTCACCAACACATGTGGTTGACCATGCGCAGTTTTCGCCACGCTGTAGGTCGCGGTATCAGTGGGGGGAATTATGAAAAGAAATGAAATTCTGAGGAGATTTCGGGAGAATCTCATTGGTTTCTGTACACTTGTACCTGAATTTGTATATGAACTCCCCGTGACTAGTGAAAAAACTCCTGAGCTCAGCTGAGGAAAGCGAACATGTATTCCTCAAACACCACGCAATTTCCTTTCAGATGGTCTCGTCTCCGCTTGAGAATGGACAACTCCCAGCGGTTCGTCGGGTGAGTCGTCCGAGTTGGTGACCATTTGTGGTCATATCCCTGGCAGTTTTCGGTCTACGCCCCGAGGGCCCTCAGCGTCCCTCCAGATCAGGGCGGCCCCTCCGGGAAGTTCACCATACCATCCCCGCTGTTAATGCAGCATTTCTCAGCAGATCCTCGAACTGTTGGTAACATGTATAAAGTGCAGGTAGTCGTCTTACGTGCTTAGAAAAGGACTATGGGGTTTCTTTCAGAGTCTTCCCTCGACGCCCTTGGGTCGTGCATCCTTCCGAATGGACTCGACCTCAACCACATCACTGGTAGCAAGCACTCTCTATATTTGCAATGAAGATGGTGATGACTCGTATCAGATGCCGTTCACCAAGCCGTCAGGATTCGAGAATTCTCAGGGGGCGACCTCAGGGACCGACAGTGAAGGTAGAAATAGTGTCCATATATTCGTTGGTTGCATTATTTCTCCATAGGCGCATACAGTTACGTTCAGAAGCTGCAACCCGCTCAGCAGACCCCCAGAGTGTCTATCACCTCCCTCCCAGTGCAAGGTCCGGCCTGTCCGATGTTAATATTGGAGTTTCGTCTCAGGCATGAACTCCCTCTCTGAACTGCTGCGCCCAGCCCGAGGGTCACTTGCTCCGAGCCTGGCAGGCCCGCCGCCCTCGGCAACATCTCGAGGGGCTGCGACGGTAGCCCCCGTAGGAGGAGGCCCTTTGCCGTCACCAGTCGTGGTCCAGCGGGTGGGCGACTAGTGTGGGGGGAGGGGGAATATGCAATGTGTTGGTATGACAATATGAAAATTCTGAGAAAAAAATTCTTAAATTCTTATTTGTTTCTGTACACTAACATGCTAACCCGTATATAAACTCCTACGATTGATGATAGAACTCTTGAGCTCAGCTGAGGGAAGCGAGCACATATTCCTCCAACAGTGTTGACATCGGAGCTCCATCGTTTCCTCAGGTGAGGCGCCTCAGTATAGAGCAGTTGGATGCAGCAGGAGGGGACGCAAGGGTGACTCAATGTTGTCGTCATTTTTGTGCACAGAGCCATGCTGTAGGTAGCAGTGGCAGCGCTAAGAGCTCAGGAGGCCACCGAAAAGGATAGAGTTCCAGAGAATCTAAAAGATACGGCTCAGCTGAGAGTCTCCGTCCAAAGGGTTCCGCCCTACCAGACGGAGTCGATCGGAATCCCTAGCAATGTGTCGGAGGCTGGTGACACCAGCGCTCCGTTGATGTCGGAGTCACCAGAAATGTCCGATACTACTCCCACGAGCAACAACGACAATGCTAGAGAAGTGGCCAGGCTTATGGTGAGGGAGTCTACTCATAGTTCATAGTCTAGCCTCCACGACGTGTATAATTATGTTTTCACGAAAAAATGATGTCAGCATGTATTAGGAAATGCACTTGATTTTTCTGGCAGGAGGAAAACGCGTATTTGAGGCATCGAGTAAATACGTTGGAAATTGAGGTTGAAGAGCTACGGGCCGAAGTAGATGTGAAGAACCAGTTGTTGAGAACAGCCGATATAAGTAGAAGCGATGGCGATCGAACTGAGCAAAACACTCCCAGTTCGAGCAAGTTGTCCAATAGCATCAACAACTACTGTAAGGAAATTGACTTATATTTCTGTCCTTATAAATTTATCTTGCCTGGAGTCCACACGCATGATCTTCTTTTCTTTCTTCAGAGCATATTAGAAGGGTCACGTGTTCGACGGTTACGCGTAGTTGGCGATTGATGATCATGGCCAACCATGGAGGACGTTGTTGTGTGGCAATCGTGCATGTTCATGTTCGTGTTTCGAGTTGGCAGTTTATCAATACTAGTGATAATCAAAGCGTCGTGTCACCCTTGGGTAGTTATTGCTGCTTTTGTTGAGGATCACCTTTGAGTCCTCAAGGAAGGTGGTTTCGACCAAACCCAGATACAACTGGCCTTGTGAAGCGCCATGTTGCATACAGTACTGTGCCTCGTCGAAAAGATAGAGATAACCTCCAACGTTTTCTTTGATTTAGCATGTTCCTTCAGCGTAATTCAGGAGATCACTTTGATGGTATAAACGCTGTCACTACCGACCTTGTCAGTGGTTGAGGCGTCTCGTATGAACATCTGTCAGTCGCGGCGCCGTCCGCCCTCCTAGGGTTGGTACTCACTGAGTAGGATATCATTGTGTGGCGTGTGTAGGCAACAAACAGCCCATCATTATGGCACGAGATCTGTCGTTACATAACGCCGTATGATACTTTACCAGCGAAAAGGATAGTCCTATGCACCTCGAGACCCCACGAAACCAAATTGAATACTCAAAGCTTACTACACGACCCTCCTCATTAGAGTAAATTCCGCGAATAATGTCTAGAAGAATACCTCGCGATAGTGGCTTGCTGAACACTAGGCGGGATGCTCAGTGGTCCACCTGATCTCCTGGTTAATTCCGTCACTCGAGAAAGACACAAATTTCGCGCTGCGCGCACGCCATTCTGATCGATTATTCACCCGCGTCTTTCGCGGTTCACTACGAACGGAACGTGAACTACGTCTTCTGTGGATAGTGCCTGCGGCTGGGTCGATACTCATTCACCGATTCGGCGAAGAATATAATACTGCCGTCATCTTTTTCTCCGCTCGACTGCTCATTACATGGAGAGATCCCTGAGTGTTGTGCAACTTTCCTGTCCCCTGAACTAACCTAATATGCTGGGCCTTTCTCGATCAACTCTCGGGGATCCTGACTTCGATTCCTTAGTGAATTCCAACTGTGTGTGGAAGGGAAGTAATGATTATACTGGTCAGCCGTGCTCTGCTACCCTCCTTGAATGGCTGAGCATCTTGCCCGAATCTTCGGCACTGAAGAGGACCGTGTGAACTGCCCCTTCTACTTCAAGATCGGTACATGCCGTCACGGTGACCAATGCTCTCGACAGCACAATAGGCCGGTCTCTAGCCAGACCGTCCTCCTCAAGGGAATGTACCAGGTAAG